TGATGCTGTTTATATTACCGAAAAAATGTTCTGGTTTGTTTACAACTAAATTAGGTTGCTTTGAGCCTCATGTCACAAAAAGCAGTGTTTTTGCAATTCTGTGTTAAAAATACTCTGCCTTTAGCCTTATTGCAGGAAAAACATATTTTCGTTTGTTTGCGGTAAAAATTGGCCGTTACCAGCGTTAATGCAAGTAAAGAAGGTCTTCTGCCAGTTTGCAGAGGTTTACACTAATTTTTACTTGATTTTACTGAAAAAAAGGTTTCGTTTGCTTTCGGCTAAGTTACCGTGTTTTGAGCATTATGTTTCTGACAACAGGCTTTTCCTTTTTTTCGTACCTAAACTGCACTTTATGTCACAAAAAGCAGCGATTCAGTTTTTCGTGAGAAAACACGCTGGTTTAAGTTTCATAGGACGGAAAATATGTTTTGGTTAGTCGACAACGAAATTGGGCTTCTTTGAGCTTTACATGACAAAAATCAGCGTCTTTGCATTTTCGTTGCTAAAAGACGTTCCACTCAGCTTTATAGCTTTTAGTCTTATTACATAAAAAACAGCGTTTCTTTCTTTCTGTGTCTAAAATACGCTGCGTTTAGCTTCATTGCAGGAAAAATATGTTTTGGTTTGTTTTCCGTAAAATTGGGCTGTTTCCAACGATATTGCTCGGGAAAAATGTTTTCTGCCAGTTTGCAGTGAGTCACTTTGATTTTTACTTGATTTCACTCAAAACAACGTTTCCGTTTACTTTCGGGTAAGTTACGTTGTTTTCAGTATTATGTTTGCAAGAACAGCCTTTTCCTTTTTTTTCGTACCTAAACTGCGCGTTTACATAATGCTGCAAACTGGAAGAAAACCTGAAAACAACACAATTTTACGCCAAACAAAGCAAAACATGTTTTTCCTGCAACAATGCTGAAAGTAGGTTATTTTGGACACGCAAAAACGCTCTTTTTATGTGACAAGAAACTCAAACCAGCCTAACTGCAAACACACCAAAACATGTTTTCCATAAGTTAGAGCGTCAAAAGCGTATTTCATGTAGGGAAACGTCGCAAAGGTTGTTCTAAGAAAGTTAACGCTGAAGACTGTAAATTAGCCAAAAACAGGCTAAAACGTTGTTTTGATGGCAATGAAGTAAAAATCAGGGTCACTCGCTAGAAAGATGAAAAAAATCTTTTTTACCAGTGCAATAACGCTTGAGAGAGCCCAATTTGACGCCAAACGAACCAAAATATATTTTCCGTCCTATGAAACTTTTAACAGCGTGTTTTGTCGCGAAAAACTAAATCGCTGCTTTTTGTGACATAAAGCTCGAAGCTTCGAATTTTGTTGGAACTAAACGAAAAGTAGGTTTCGGTAAGATAAGAGGTCAAAAACGCAGTTATGGTACGAAAGAAAGGAAAAGCCTCTTCTCAGAAACGTAATGTTGAAAAGAGCATAACCTAGCCGGGAAGAGACGAAAATGTTGTTTTGAGTAAAATCAAGTAAAATTAAGCGTGACTCGCTGTTAACTGGGAGAAAACCGTTCTCCGTTCTAATAACGCTGGGAACAGCCCACTTTTACGGCAAACAGACCTTTCCTGCAATAAAGTTAAAGGCAGGGTATTTTAAACACAGCAATGGAGAAACGCTGTTTTCTGTGACATAAGGCTCAAAGCAACCTAATTTAGTTGCCAACAAACCAAAACATTTTTCGGCAATATAGAGCGTCAAATGTGTGATTTCCTCACGAAAGGAGAGGAAAAGGTTCTTCTCAGAAGGAAAATTCTGGAATTGCGTAACTTACCCAAACACAAGCAAAAACGTTGTTTTGAGTAAAAGAAAGGGAAAATCAGGCTGACTCGCTGCAAACTGGAAGTCTATTGCTCAAAGCAGTGTGTTTTCCAACGATAAACTAAATGGCTGCTTTTTGTGACATAAAACTCGAAGCTTCCAATTTAGCTGCAACCAAGCCAAAGCATGTTTTTGGTTAGAGAAAGTGTCAAAAGTGTAATTACTTACAAAACCTAGAAAATAGTTGCTCTCAGAAAGATAATTCTGAAAACAGGGTAACTTAGCTAAAAGAGGTTAAAACGTTGTTTTGAGTGCGCTCAAGTAAAAATCAGTGTCACTCGCAAAAAAAGTGGAAAAGAAATCCATTTACCGGTGCAATAACGCTGGAAAGAGCCCAATTTAACGCCAATTTTTTTGTGCTATAATCCTGAGTGGAACGTCTTCTAGCAACCAAAATGCAAAGACGCGGTTTTTTCTAATATATAGCTCAAAGAAGCCCAATTTCGTTTCGAATGACCAAAACATATTTTCCGTCCAATGAAACTTAAAACAGCGTGTTTTCTTGCGAAAAACTAAATCACTGCTTTTTGTGACATAAAGCTCGAAGCTTCCAACTTAGCTGCAACAAAACCAAAACATGTTTTGGTAAGATAAAACGTCATTAGTGCAGTTTAAGTACGAAAAGAAGGAAAAGCCTGTTGTCAGAAACAAAATGCTCAAAACAGCGTAACTTAGCCGAAACCAAACGAAACCTTTCTCAGTAAAATCAAGTGAAAATTAGGCAAACTGGCAGAAAACCTTCTTTAAGTGAATTAACGCTGACAACAGCCCAATTTTACGGCAAAGAAACCAAAACATGTTCTTCCTGCAATTAGACTAAAGGCAGGGTATTTTAAACACGGAATTGGGAAAAACTGTTTTTTGTGACATGAGGCTCAAATCGACCTAATTAAGTTACCAACAAACCACATCTTTTCGGCAGTTTAGAGCATCAAAAGTGTAGTTTGGTTACGAAAACAAAGGAAAAGGTTCTTCTCAGAGAGAGGATTCTGAAACAGCGTAACTTGGTCAAAATTAAGTAAAAACGTTCTCTTGAGTAAAATCAAGTGTACGCAGGATGCTTCGCTAAAAACTGGAAGAAAATCTTTTTCCGGTGTAATAACCTTGCAAAAAACACAATTTTACAGGAAACAGACCAAAACATGTTTTCCTGCTTTAAAGCTGACTGACACGTGTTTTAGACTTGAAAAACGCTGTTTTTTGTGATCTTAATTTCAAACCATCCCAATTTCGTTGCCAACAAACCAAAACATGTTTTCGGTAGATAAAGCGTCAAAAGTGTAGTATAGTTACAAAACCGAGAAAATGGTTGCTCTCAAAAAGATAATTTTGAAAACCAGGTAACTTAGCTAAAACAGGCTTAAACGTTGTTTTGGGTGCTCTCAAGTAAAAATCATTCGTGAAGAACTGGAAAATAAATCCATTTACCGGTGCAATAACGCTGGAAAAAGCCAACTTTGACGGTAAACACAGCAAAATTGGTTTTTCGTCAAATAAAGCTGAAAGCTTCGTATTTTAGTAATTAAAAAGGAAAAAAAGCTATGAGGCTCATCCCAGAAAGATGATGCTGGAAACAGCGTAACCTAACCAAAAACTAGAAAAACCGTTCTCACTTAGCCAAACACAAAAAAAAACGTTGTTTTGAGTAAAATCAAGAAAAAAGCAGGGTGACTCGCTGCAAACTGGTAGGAAACCTTTTTCCCTTGCAATAACGCTGGAAACAACACAACTCTACGGCAAACAGGCCAAAACATGTTTTTTGCGTGAGTGCAACGTGTTTTTAGCAAACAAAAAGCAAAAACGCTTTTTTTGCGATATAAAGCTCAAGGAACCCAATTTCGTTGCCTGCTAACCAAAACATATTTTCAGTGCTATGAAGCTAAAAGCAGCGTGTTTTCCAGCGAGAAACTAAAGCGCTGCTTTTTGTCACTTAAAGCTCCAAGCTTTCAATTTCGTTACCAACACAGGTTTTACGTAAGATAAAGGGTCAAAAGCTCAGATTAGCTATGAAAAAAAAGAAAATCCTGTTCTCGGAAACATGATACTGAAACAGCGTACCTAAGCCAAAAAGAAAGAAAAACGTTCTTTTGATCAAAATCAAGTAAAAATCAGAGTAGCTCGCTGCAGACTGGCAGACAACCTTTTTCCGGTGCAGCAACACTGAAAACAGCCCAATTTTACCGCAAAGAATCCAAAACAAGTTTTTCCTGCAATAAAGCTACACGCAGCGTATTTTAAACACAGAAGGGAAAAAACACTTTTTTTTGTGACAGAGGACTCAAAGAAACTTAATATAGTTGCCAACAAACCAAAACATTCTTTTGGTAATCTAGAGCGTCAAAAGTGTAGTTTGATAATGAACAAAGAGGAAACGGTTTTGCTCTGAAAGATGATGATGAAAACAGCAGAACCTAGCCAAAAACAAGCAAAAACGTTGTTTTAAGTAAAATCTATTCAAACTCAGCGTGACTCGCTACAACCTTGCAAAACATCTTTTCCCGTTGCAATAACGCTGGAAATAGCGCAATTTTACAGAAAACAAGCGAACACATGTTTTTCGTGCAATAAAGCTGAAAGCAGCGTATTGTAGCATTTAAAAGGGAAAACGTTACTTTGCCGTGAGAAAAAATTTCAAGCAGTTCAACTTAGTTGCCAACAGGCCAAAACATGTTTTTGGTGCGATAAACCCTGAAAAACCGCAGTCTAGTTACGAAAGAGTCCAAAGCGTTGTTTGCAGAAAGATAATGCTTAAGACAGTGTTAACTTAGCCGTAAACAAACGAGATCGTTGGTTTAGTAAAATCAAGTTCTACTTAGGGTGGCTAGCTGCAGACAGGCAGAAACGTTTCTTCGATGTGGTTAAGCTGGAAACATGTTTTTGGTGCGATAAAGCTGAAAGCAGCGTATTTTAGAAAGCAAAATGCGAAAACGCTTTTTTGTGAGCTTTAACTCACAATAGCCCGGTTTAATTGCAAACAAATAAAAATATGTTTTCCATTTGATAATGCTCAAAACAGCGTAAGTCGGAAATTCCACTCAGATGCTGCAAGGCTACACCAGTAATTGCTTAGGGTTATGGTTAGGGTTAGGGTTTGGGTCACGGTTAGGGTTTAGTCTGATTAGGCTTGGCTAACCTTAAATGTTTGTAGAATCTTTTTATCTGCAGATAGAGAGCTAGAACCGGGGACTGAACAAGAGAAAAGAACTAGATTAGATGGGGTTACGAACAGAATTCCAGAAGCCCCAGAATCCTGGAGGGGTGAAAAGTAGTACAGGGGACTTCTAACACGGGTATGGCTCGTTCCATAGTAGTGTCCAGGGCTGGATAAACTCTTGTTCGAGTGGCCAATTTCTCCGACAAAGTTGTCACCTTACCATCACATCTTCCTGTTGCTGAATACCATACCGTCAGCGGTGTAAGTGGTAGTGCTACTCCTACCAAAATTGGCGGTAGTCCATGAGCACCTAGCCATCGATACTGCTCAGTTATAGACAGAAATATTGGGGATGATAAGCAGGAAAGAGCAGAAAGAGAGAATGAAGGGCAAAAGTTATTCAGCCAAGTTCAGATGGGCTTTCAGAGGAGCAGAAAAGGTAATTTTCCGTACTGATAGAGGAATATGAGGGCATATTTGCAATTAACAATAGTGACTTAAGACAATGAGATCTTATGGAACATGAAATTAAGACTACTATTAGGCAGCTTCCTCTTCGCATACCACCGCACCAGAGGGAGATCATAGATGAACAGCTTAAGGAGTCGGTAGCGAATGGTAGAGTTGAAGAGTCACAGAGCCCAGGAGCAGTCGGGTTGCTTTGGTAAGGAGACATGATGGAAGTTACCGTATGTGCATTGATTACCGCAAACTGAATTTGTGTACATAGAAAGATGCAATACCGTTACCGAGGACCGATGATGTCTTGGAAGCGCTGGGTGGTGGCTAATGGTTCTTTTTTCTGGATTTGGTGTCTAGGTATTGGCAGATGTAAGTAAAAGAAGAGGACAGACCCAAAACAGCATTCTCGACCCATCGTGGACAATTCCAATGGAGGGTTATGCCATTTGGACTCACGAATGGGCTAGCTAGTTTAACCAGATTGATGAATCTAGCAGTCAGTGAACTGACTTCGACACTCTGTCTTGCGTATTTGGATGATATTATTATCTGGGCCCCTTTTTTCGAGGAACACCTTCATTGTTTACGGTTATTATTTGACAGGAAACGAACTGCTGCTCTTAAGCTGAGGCCAACTTAGCGTCAGTTTGTAAAGATAGAAGTTTCGTTCCTAGGGCATGTTTTCTCTTCAGAAGGCATCAAAACTGACCCTGACAAGGTCGAGACTTTCAGAACGTGGCCAATCCCTGTAGACATCAAAGAGTTCCAAAGCTTCATTGGTCTTGCAAGTTACTATAGGTAGTTTATTGCTGGATTCTCGATCGTCGCAGAACCACCCTACAAATTGTCGAGTAAGGGTGTTTCTTTTCAGTGGCAGATGGAACAATAAAGCGCCTTCAATGAACTGGAACATCGCTTGACCATCGCACCCGTCTTGGCATATCCTGATTTTAGTCCTGATTGAGGATTATTAGTACTTGACTTAGATGCCGGCCAACCCCTGGGCATTGGCGCTGTTTTATCTCGATTGCAACCCAATGACACTGAGCATGTGATAACTTAGGGGAGTCGTTCTTTGAATGAGCAGGAAAAGAACTATTGCGGGACTCGATTAGATATGCTAGCTCTGGTAAACTATATGGACCATTTTTGCTATTACTTGGTGGGACAAAAATTGCGCCTGAGGACTGATAATCACTCATTAGTCTGCCTTATGTCTTTTAAGGAGCCTCAAGGGCAAGTGGCCCGTTGGCTTGGGCGCTTACAGTATGATTCTGAGATACAACGTCGCCCGGGGAGGTACACGACAATGCAGACGCCTTGTCTAGAAGGCCCAGACGACAACATGGGAATTGTCCATCGTCTAGTCCAACAGGATTATCCCAAGTTACGATTGTTTCTAGAGACTTTCCAGTCGGTGAAACCCCCAAGTGAAATGAGAAATTGTTGGTAGCCAGAAGTGGTTGCACAGGCCCGAAGAGATGATCCAGATATCAGCGTGGTACTTAGTCATTTGTTGAAACAGTGGAGAAAACCAGCTGTTGAGGAACTTCACGTCAATGCACTATGCTGCTCGTGCTGTCTGGGCGCAGTTTGAACTTCTGTTGCTACAACATATAAAGTCAGCTGCCCACACTACTCAAGCTAAACTGAGGATGATTGTACCGGAACAAAAGATAAGATTTAGATTAGATGGAGGTTGCGAACAGAATTCCAAAAGCCCTACAATCCTAGAGGGGTGAAAAGAAGTACAGGGGACTTCTAACATAGGTATGCCTCGTTCCCTAGAAGTGCCCAAGGCAGGACAGACTCTTGTTCGAGTGGCCAATTTCTCCGTCAAAGTTGTCACCTTACGATCAGATCTCCCTGTTGCTGAATACCATACCGTCAGCGGTGTAAGTGGCAGTGCTACTCCTACCGAAATCGGCAGTAGTCCTTCAGCACCTAACCATCCATACTGCTCAGTTATAGACAGAAATATTGGGGATGATAAGCAAGAAAGTAGTGAAAGAGAGAATAGAAGGGCAAAAGTTATTCAGCCAAGTTCAGATGGGCTTTCAGAGGAGCAGAAAAGGCAATTTTCCCTACTGATAGACCAATATGAGGGCATATCTGCAATTAACAATTGTGATTTACGATAATGAGATCTTATGAAACATGAAATTAACACTGGTGAGCATGATCCCATCAAGCAGCTTCCTCGTCGCATACCACCACACCAGAGGGAGATCATTGATCAACAGCTGGACGAGCCGCTTGCGAATGGTAGAGTTGAAGAGTCACAGAGCCCCTGGAGCAGTCCGGTTGTAAGCATGACTCTTGTGCATAGCACATCTTAGCGGTGTCTTTGGCACACGAGGACGTAGTACAAGAGGTGCCAGTGTTTGGAGCGTAGGTGTTGCCAGTTCCTACTGAATCTGGCATTCTGCTGGAGCAGGAAATTGATGATTATCAGTCCCTGTCCTGCACACAGCTCCGGGAGCATGCACCCATTGGTATTGCAGATGCCAACTGCATGGCATCCCGGAACTCCTGGCCATACAGTCTGGGCTCGTTCCACCGATGCATTAAGGTCGCCCATGATGATGAGCTTCTCCTTGCCGTCCACTTTCCAGTGGAGTGACCCCTACTCACTTTAAAATGCCTCTTCCCACGTGGGATCTGCCATGAACGTGGGAGCGTACACTCTGATGATGGTGGGAGATTTACATCCTTGAAGGATAGTGCGGAAGGACACAAGGTGATCCGAGTGTCTTACCGGGAAGCTTGTCAGCTTGCTGGCCACTGTGTTCTTCGTGCTCCATGCTCCTTGCTCTGTGATTGATCCTTGTTCTACAAAGCGCTACTGAGAGATGCAATCTTTGCTCTTTGTTTCTTTTCCTGTTTCTCACCGCTAGTGTGGGATACCGTTGGCCACGGCTGGCCAGCCAGGTAGGGCTTGAGGCAAGCTGGGCTTGAACAACCTTTTCTAGACCCGCCATCCCTAAGGAGGGCTGTTTGGTCCACCAGGGTGCTGTCGAATGTTGCTGTCGCCTCTTAACAGAGAAGCGACCAATATCCTAGGCTGCCTACATGAAGAGTTTTAGTTGCGAGTCGGTACCTTGTCTTTTTGCTCTTTCAGCATTGCTGTTAGACAGTTGAATTGGTTTAACTGGATATAATGGTTAAACTTGCCAAAACTCTTACTGGAAACAAATGCACAAAGTACCTAGAATGGTCAAATAAGTGTATTTCATGCTCATCAACCGTTTCAGCTAATCTGACTATTTTAACGACATTACACCAATTCAGCTACCATGTGCATTTCGTCCAGATAAACCGTTTATGCTAGTTTGAGACATTTTGAGGGGTCGAATCGATTTAGCTAGTGTGTGCATTTCGTCAAGTTGTACAGTTTCAATTAACTTTCAGGAGTTTAGATACATTGCGCAATTTTGCAGGTAAAGAGTCTTCACGAGTTAAACCAATGTGCGAGCCTGCGAGCCGGAGCCGTGTTTTGCGAGCCTCCGGCCTCTTCTTGCGAGCCACAGTTTTTTTTCACTATCTTTCCATTTCCTCTCCTTTCTTTATTATGACAGTCTTTGGCTCCTCTCTAGAGCGCACTTGAAGATGAAAATCTGAAAAGTTTAACTAAAGAAACTATAGCATTGAAAGTGCTTTATACCCTATTTACGCACTGATGCGCTCATTTACAACCTGAGAGGATTTATCGCTGCCGGAGCATCAGCGTAGGCAGCAGCAATTTTTTTCAGCATCTGAGAATTTTCGGTACACTGGATCGATGATTCGGGTGAAGAAACGGCCTACTAGAAATATCCATATTGCGACCCAGTCATCGGACTGCTCCTCGGAAAACCAGAGATAAGTTTAGCAGCCTTTTCGATGTCTTTGGTCGTTTTTACCGATCTTTTATGATTACCTGTAGTCGAGGAAGCAGTTTATGAAGGTCACGAAGCCTCCAGCGAGCATTCAGGAGCCCCACAGTGCACATTTAGGTCAATTTCATCTTGGCTTTACAATCGATTGTATTCGGTCCAAACAAATGCAACAAATATCAATGCCATCCTCAGGGAGATTGCACGCATTTACAAGTTCTAACCTATTACAGAGTCTAACAACGAGTTTCTGAGGTTGGCATCTTTTGCAATTTTGGGTAGTCCAAACTGAACTGTTAGAATTAATAAGCACTAAAAAGCGTTTGACAAAACCGTTAATTGCTGTTTTACATGTTGCGGAGAATAAATAAACTTGACTGTTTCTCGTTGTCATTTCAACGGTCACACATGTAAATAACGGTAGCACTTCGCTTCTCGATGAAAACTCGCCACAACATGGCCACGAGACGAGGCCGCCGTAACAAGATCACTCACTGACTTAAGAATGTTTTCTTGCGGGAACAAAACAAGCAATCCAAAGTGGGTAAGATAGCCCCATACTGCCGGCCAGGTAGTTAATCAGAAAACACGATTTCAGGTTTCGCTACCTCTTACTTGCTCAAGGAGCGAGCAGTGCGTTATAACGAAAACCGTGAACTGTCCATCCTTTACAGCGACAGTAAAGAATTGGATTAGCACAGGAAGAAAAGACATCTCCATCCAAAGAACCAGCCTAACTTGAACTTTATTTACTTAAGTGTAACATGTAGCTGCATACAGTTAACCTGACCTGAACGTTGTATTATAATATGAAACTTCAAATACAACTGTAACTGTGAACTCAATTGTTAAAACTGTTTTAAACCTAGACGTGAAGGAATAATTGGACACACCTCTCGCTGTACACAATTTACTGATTTCACTGTCATTCACCCTTGGTCTGTAATAGCTAAACAAAACGTACAGTAGAGTCAAAAATGATTGCTCGCAAACTACTCTGGCAAGATGATTTTATATCTTATTTTGAATCTTTAATTTGCGCGAGTGAATGTTGTGAAACAGACGCTTCGCAAGTCAGGATTTTTTATGCTTCGGTCCTTAGTCGAGGCTTTTATCAAAAACGTCTAGGCAGCTGGCGGAAACTAATAAATATGTATTTAAACGAAAATGGTCCCCTTTTTATCGTCCAATAGCTGTGTAATACATTCATGTCACATATCTTCATCTCCGAGAGGTTCTTTCAGGTTTGAAATCTTCTTTGTGTCCAGAAGAGAGTCCGTTGCTTTCTCCAGAACATCCCAGTCCACAACGTCTGCCTTCAGGCCTTCCAAAATCGACTGCCTCACTACTTCGGATGGTTTCAAATTTGGGTTCCTCGAAGAGACTGTTCCACAACGGAGGGAAGGGGAACTTTTCTTTTCGCTTGGCAAGTATGCGTACCAACGTGGTAGATACGAACCTCACATACGTGGGGCAGGAAATCCATGTACTTTCGAGCTAAACAAGAAACAAAGATAGAGCATCTTCCACAACCTTTACACACCACGTCGCCATTCCTGTTTTTCTCAAACTGGACTTTATTGGGTTTGCCATGTTGCTGCTTGAAAGAACATTTTGAATTTTCGCACTCGTAGGATCCTTTACAGGGCTGAGCGCGTACTGAGCCCTTTCCCGCTCCTCCTTGCCGTCCTTGGCATGTGCCTATCCCAAGGACGCCCATCAGCAACAGCCTTCATCCCCTTGTCCTTCTGGTAAGGGACTTGATAAACAGCTTCTCCGTTTATGTCAAAGGGGAGGCTGTCGACTTTAACAACTGGTATCTTTTCCCGGAATTTTTTCGTGTAGCGCTGAAGACCTAGAAGGCAAGGCATTGATTACAGGCTCATATGAATATTAGCAAATGTTGTAGCTATGCTCAATAATACTAGTATGTATTGTGAAAAAGTTTAAATTTTGTCAGCAATATGTAGGCTGATAACACTTGTGGAACACAGAGTTTTTCCTTTTTGTTCTAAAGGCTGAAATTTCTAGAAGGAATTTAATATCACATGCATGGAGCTGTATATAATTCAAGTGCTCTTTCAACTTTTTTAAAGTCGACTACTGTTGAGCACTGGGTTATTTCTGGGTAAATTTTATGTTAATGAAGTAAAATATTAAAATGACATCAGACTGGTACAGAAATGCAAACAAGTTAATCAATGACATCACTCAGCCTTAAGTATATTGGTTCCTTTCCAATTTCTCCCTTGGTCAACCTTTTAAAAAGAGTTCTGTAAAGAAAAATTCCAAATCAGTAACTAAGTCTCCTGTGATCCATATGTAGGATGTGTGAATCAAAGGGAAAACAATCTGTTTGTAAAAAAGATGATGAGTACCAAATATTTAAGGCAAATAGATTAAGTCCTAAAATTATGACACAACTGACACTTATTTTACCTTGTTCTGTATGGGTCTGCCACACACATTGCATCAATTTTGCATTATCCTCACAGCAAATAATTTAAGTATTTTGTTCTAATAATAATTATTATTATCAGTTTCACATGTAATCAAAAGATTCTAGAATCCTGAAGCTAAATGATTTAGCTGATAATTGAACTATGAACTAGCTTAACTTTACAGACATATGAAACATAATTACTTACCTAGAAATGTACATCAATGATGTACTAGGTTCCTCAAAAGACATATCAAATGAAAGATTTCTGATTTCTGAAGAAATTGGCTTGGAATCTTCATTTCTATAACGGAGGAAACATAGGACATGCTGGAGCATGACTGTCACAAATTCCCCAAAAGAGGTTTCATTACCTAAAATATATTTTGAGCACTGAAAACTAACTAGAATTAACTATATTGAAATCATTTGTCACATATACCTTCGTGTCCTCTTTTTGTGTGGACTTTGTGGTGAGTCACTGATATCAATCTTGACAGGTGCATTATGTGGCTTTGATGACCCACAAACAATGCAAACATCAGATGATTCTACATTTATGTGTGCACTTTCTGCACTCCCAAAAGGATTCAGTCTGTGAATTTTAGAGTGTAATAAGAAAAATAAATTGTCATAAAATAAATACAATTTAATCAGATTTAAAAAGTAAGCGAAAACCAAAGGCCGGGTCACCTTGATAATGTTCATGTTTGCAGACATTGAAGAGGTCAGGAAAATTAAATGATCACAAGAAGCAATTATTACACCAAAAAGGAATGAGGTTTTAGAGGTATAGAAGCCAGTGCAAATTTTACGTATCTTGTTTATACAAATTCCTACATGGGGATCATAATACCCAATTTAGAATTACTCAAATATTAGACATGACTTACCTTACTAATGCCTTTCTTAAGGGGGCTTTCTCTTAACTCAATGAAAAACGATTCCTAAATGAAATAAAGGGTGATTTAAACTAACCTAGTCGTAAGATGAAATTCTACAAAAGCCATATTAAACTCTCAAAGTTTCTCTGGATGGGCATTTGTTTTGAGTTGTTTAAAAAAGGAAGGCTGTTTTAATTTTTGTTGCTAACAGAGATTTTTTTATTAAAAATAAAAATGTTTTGACGCATGTTATTATCGCACTCGTACTACGATCGCGATTGGTTCATCAGTTGAAAGTTTGTTTGAATTCCGGGTGGAGTGTAAGACTCAATTCCTTTTGAATGCGTACAAGTAAGCTTATAATCTCCGAAGGTATCTCTCTAAAACAGTGCGAAAAATAGTGAATTCTACCAATGTAGGCGATGAAATACTGAATAACTGCCGCACTGAGTGAGGCAAAAAACGGGAAGGATCGAAATAAATCACAATTCATCACAAGTCAGACAAAAACTCACCTTACTGTCATTAGGATTAAAGCCTCCCAAACCTGATATTTTCAAAGCAAAATGTGTAAACAGTATTAGTACTTAAACATCTGCGTAATTTTAATAAAAAACAAACCACTCAGTGGAACAAATTTAATGAAAAAAAAACTTACCATCCAGGGGAGAAGATTCCACCATGTTTGTACTTTGCAGAACACATGTAGACCGCATCTAATTGAGACCATTAAAAGGCATTATGTCCATATTTGGATATTTTTGGCGGGAACTTTCGGGGCTCGCAAAAAAATGGCTCCGGCTCGTTGAAAAAGGCTCAGGCTCGCACAATAGCAACCCCCAGTCTTCACTAGTTTGACTACTTAATCGAATGAATCATTCAGGCTAGATTGTGCATTTTTTGCTATTCAGATAGACTGTGTAGTTTATGTAATTGAACTGTCCTCGCTGCGTTGACTATTTAACCAGTTGAGCCAATTAAGTTAGTTTGACCATTTAAAGTACTTGAGTCAATTCAGCTAGATTGTGCGGGTTGTACAATTCAATAATTGAAGCCAGTTAGACCACGGGAGATAGATTGTGCCTTTTTTCCGTTTGACTGTCTTTCCTAGTTTAACTTTTTAACCATTCGATCCATCAAAGCTAGATCGTGCAGTTTATGCAATTCACCATATTAAACCTGTTGTGAATATTGTCCAGTTGGCTAGAGCATATAAACTACTTTGTCCAGTGGAGAGAGATTGTGTAATATTTGTACTTTAACTGTCTTCGCTGGTTTTGGATATTTGACCAGTAAAACCAAGTAAGTTAGTTTCAATATTTTATCTTCTTGAACCCATTTAGCTAAATTATGCAGGTTGTGCAGTGGAATAATTGGAGCTAGTTTGACCATTAGAACTACCTTGTCCAACTAGGATAGACTCTTCTCCTTTTTTCACTCAAATGTATTCCCAAGTTTGACTATTTAACCAGTTGATCCATTAAAGCTAGATTGTACAGTTTGTGCAATTCAACCTATTAAAGTAGTTCTGGATATTGTCCAGTCGAACCATTTAAGTTAATCTGACCAATTAAAATACGTCAGCCAATTAAGATGGAATAATGATTGTGGATGTATGAAAATCATATATGGGCACTGCGGTGAAGAGACGAATATACTGTATTTCTTGACCAATAAGCCGAGACCCCAAAAGCTAGAGCCCTTTCAACAGACTTGTGTCGTCCAAAAGAAAAAGCAAAACCATCAGCTATAAGGCGAGAGCAAAATTCTTGATTGTAACCGGCCATTTGAGTAAACGAACTTCACGGAAAACATTAGCAAATGGCTGATATGATAGAACAACAGAAATACACATGGAAATTTTTACACTAACTTTATAACCATCCTTTTGTCTTTTAAAAGCTAGAAGCTCAGTAGGCTCTGTCGTGTCGGTCATTGTTAAAACTGTCTCTGTTTTGATGCTACTTTTCGACATAGAAAAAGTATGTCGGACAAAATTATCTACCAAAGAAGAAATAATTCTTTGCCAGCTTCAATAATGACCGGGGATTAATTTCAAATGATAAAACAGAGGATTATGCTGACAGAAATACCGGAGGTCCAGCAAACTCGTTACATAAGGTCACACAACTCGGGTAATATTCAGGGTAAAAATTTGCATATTTGAGCGATCGAACGAAAAAACTCATTTCTCACAACTAATATATATTTTCACAAAAAAAAAACACCACAAGTATCAGGACATATTGGGCTAAAAATTTGAAAGTAGGAGAGAAAACAGATTTGAGCGGCTCGCTGCTGTTTGTCTGATGCATGTTGACATTAGCTCTTGAGGTCATTTAGCTTCTTCTCAGTGACATAAGGACCAAAAAATCTACAATTAAGTTTGTTTCTAGGCACTGGCAACAATGCAAGAGCCTTTTCTCTTGACTTGAAGTCACGATCTACAGAATCTACATCATACTTCTCTTTCAAAGACATCTCGAAAGAACTAAGATTAGCTTTAGCTAACTCACAAGCTCTAAAACGCTTACCGCAAAAATCTGAATCATACTGCAACAGATTCATAGACTCAGTGCTGCTAGATAATAACTTCTTTTTAAGCAGTTTAAGAGGTCCTCTCACAGTGTGCTCAAATACAAGCTCGAATGGACTGAATCCTAGAGACTCCTGTACTGACTCAGCTGCAGCAGACCGTCGTAGATGACTACCCTCGTCCTAATCTTCCCCTGTTTCGAAACAGTAGATCCTCATCATGTTCTTCAGTGTTTGGTGCCATCTTTCGAGAGCTCTTTGAATTTGAGGGTGACATGCGGTTGACATATACTTTGTGACTCCAAGCTCGTGCATGACGTGTTGAAATATGCCACACAACATTGGAATCTTGGTCAGACTGGATAGAACTTGGGAGACCTACCGGTGTAAAGAGCTTGGTTAAAGCTCTGACTATGACCTTTGCAGTGATATTTCTCAAAGACACGGCTTCAGCAAATCTACTGGATGCACACATGATGGTCATCAAATACTGGTGTCCAGACCTCTTCTTAGGTAGAGGCTCTAAACAATCAACAATGATTCTTCTGCTGGATGGCTCTTGGAGGGCTGGTAGTGGCTGTAACGGTATTTTTGGAACGATCTGATTCGGTTTCTCAGCCATCTAACAAGTGTGAAACGACTTGCAGTATTGCGCCACAACTTTTCTTAGACTGAGCTAGTAGAAATGGTCTAAGAACCTCGGCAGGTTTTGTTGACACCCAGGTGGTCAGGCAAGGGGGTCTCATCCCCTGTGCTTAAAACGTCCGGTCTGTAGGTCTTTGGGACAATAATCTGGTACTGGACAGCCAACTCCTCTTCTGTGGGAACATCGGGTGGTCTCCACATTTTCATTAGCACTTCATTCTTTGTAAAGTAACAGGTGGGGTTCTGAGATACTTCGCTTTCTCTAACACTTCTTGAAAATATAGGTGAGACTTCCGGGTCTTCGTGTTGTTCTGCAATGGGTTGAGAAGTTGACATCTTTTCGACCTGTTCCATTAAACGTTTCTCAGAAAGTACTTATACTGGCTGAAAGAAAGAGGGATTCGGTTGCTCACCCGTAAGGACCTGGCTGATGGCGGTGTCAGCTAACGTTACCTGTTTTGTCTCTGGTTTCTAACTTCTTACTTATGGCTCGCGTCACGACACATTATGGGTACAGACGGAGAATTCTCCTCTCTACTGGCTCTGGAGACTTTTCTTAACCACGCTTGTCGGTGACAATAGCATTGACAACTACTGGTGTATACTGGTGTATACTGTATATGATGGCACCGGGGTATACTTGGAACTGATTCCTCTTATTAGAACACTCGCACAAGTGGACGACTTCTCAGAAAACACCAAAGGGTCACTCAGCAATAGAAACTGTGAGGCTCCAGTGCCTGTCAAAATCTTGATTGGTATGGAGTTGGACGTATCAGTTGACAATGACACCGAACCATCGTGGATGACGCGCTGAAAGAAAACAATGACAGATTTGCAGGGGCCACTGACTTCACTCAAAGCACTTGCCTGAGTCTTCTCTCTTAGAACTTGGGGAGGGGGATGTATCTTCACCAACAGCAGTTAAATAAAATGTTTTAACGAGAAAACCATCACGCTTAGGCGCTACTCTCCACTTTTCCAGGCTGCTAGAAATCAGCTGACCAGCTTTTCTGGAGAAGTAACATGTCGGCGGCTTGATGGGCTTACCACGATCAAACTTGTTCTGTCTTGACCATGAGGAGCTGAAACGATTCCCATAATTGTTAGCAGGATTCTGCTTTGGATTTCCTCCGTCATTCTGCCGACTTCTCTGGTTTTGCAAACCATCGTGGTACCGAAGGAGGAAGAACTCTAGCGGGTGAAGTGTGAAGCTGATGGGGTCGTTCCATGAAGTTCACTTTGTGCCTCAACCAAAGTTCATCTGCTAGTCGTGCATCTTCCTCTAATGTTGGTGCTTTTGCTCATTGACGAACGTTCGGACATCACTGTGAATGCACCTCTTAGACTCCTCTATTAAAACTAGCTGTCATTAACCTATCCTGACTCTCATCTACACTTTGCAAATGACACCAACGATCAAATAACTTCCTTACTTCTAGCAAATTCTTCATAAGTCTGACTATTGACTTTCTCACGGTCTCTGGGCCTCGGGAACTATTTCAGAACCCTTAAAAATAATATCCTTAGCACTTTCATAATTTGCAGCTTACTCTACACTTAACTGTGTTTAAATTTTTCTTGCTTTACCGACTAGTACACTCTGTAGTTGAATTACCCAGTAATCCGTGGGCCACTTAAGATTGCCGGCTACTTTCTCAAAGTGCAAGAAACACTTATCAGTATCTGCTTCCTGAAATGGAAATACCAACTTAAGATACTCGGTGATATCAAATTTCACCTTTCCTGTCTGTCCTTTTCTTCCATCCTTTCTTGTCTGTCCTTGTCTTCCATCCTTTCTTGTCTGTCCTTTTCTTCCATCCATTGTGGAGTTATACAGCAACGAAATCATTGTAGGAACACTCATTGTCTTTGGGACCGCCAACCATTACATCCAAAGGCATCCTCATCTCTCTACCGAACATGACCTCGAACGGGTTGTGCCCCGTGGAGGAGTGAACACTACTGCGATAGGCCATCACGCAGACATCAAGGTGCTCATCCCATGTAGCTGGATTATCTTCAACTCTAGCTTTTAACATGCTCCTTAAGGTTTTGTGCAGCTTTTCTACTTGGCCGTTGCCCTCAGGGTGATACGCGCTGGCGCGCGTTTTGCTAATATTCAGCAGCTGGCAGATTCCCGAGAATGTTTTAGACTCGAAATTACGGCCTTGATCGCTATGAATGCTGTCAAGCACACCAAATCTGCAGATCCAGTTCCTTACAAGCATCTTTGCAGAGGTTGTGGCACGCTGGTTGGACATTGCAAACACCTCAGCCCTTTTAGTAAAACTGCACTGAACTGTTAAAATGTGGCGGTTTCCTCTCCGAGACCGTGGCAAGGGAGCAACAATGTCAATATGGATGCCTTGCATGGGGTTGCCAGAGGTAAATGACCACAGTGGTGCTGTGGGTTTTGCCCTTGGCTTACACTTGGCACATGTCAGACATCGATCGCAGTAATAATGCACCTCTTTGGTTGTGCCAGGCCTCCGGAATCTAGCTTATATCTTCATTAGACTCTTCATTCCTCCAAGGTGGGCGCCAACAACGCCATCATGAACTTCGACAAGGGCCTTCTCCACTAACTGTTTCGGTACAACCATCCTCAGTTTAGCTTGAGTAGTGTGGGCAGCTGACTTTATATAGAGAACCCCCTGTTGTAGCAACAACAGTTCAAACTGGGCCCAGACAGCACAAGCAGCAGAGTGCATTGACGTGAAGTTCCTCAACAGCTGGTTTCCTCCACTCTTTCAACAAACGACAAAGTACCACGCTGATATCTGGATCATCTCTTAGGGCAGATTCTCACTTCACTTGGGGTTTCACCGACCGGAAGGTGTCTAGTAACAACCGTAACTTGGGAGAATCCTGTTGGAGTACACGATGGACAATTGCCATGTGGTCGTCTGGGCCTTCTAGACAAGGCGTCTGAATTGTTGTGGAACCTTCACGGGTGACATTGTATCTCAGAATCATACTGTAAGCGCCCTAGCCAACGGGCCACTTGCCCTTGAGGCTCTGTAAAAGTCATTAGCTAGACTAATGAGTGATTATCAGTCCTCAGGCGCAATTTTTGTCCCAACAAATAATAGCGAAAATGGCCCATATAGTTTACCAGAGCTAGCATCTCTAATTGAGTCCCGGAATAGTTCTTTTCCAGCTCATTCAAAGAACGATTCCGGTAAGCTATCACACGCTGAGTGTCATTGAGTTGCAATCGAGATAAAACAGCACCAATGCAGAATTGCGCTTTTTCCAACGATATGGCATGAAAAAAAGGTTTCTTGCTAGTTTGCAGTGAGTCACGTTGATTTTTAACTTGATTTTAATAAAAGCAACGTTTCTGCTTGCCTTCTGCAAAGTTACGCTGTTTTCAGCATTATCTTTTTGAGAGCAACCATTTTATCTGTGTTGTAACTAAACTACACTTTTGACGGTCTCTCTTACCGAAAACATGTTTTGGGTTTTTTTGCAACTAAATTGGAAACTCCGAGCTTTAAATCACAAAAAAACAGCAATTTGGTTTTATTGTTGCAAAATGCACTGCTTCAAGCTTCATAGCACCTAGAATATGTTTTGCTTCGTTAACAACAACATTGAGCTTCCTTGAGCTATATATCACAAAAAAAAAAAGCGTTTTTGCTTTTTAGTTTTTTGTTGCTAAAACACGTTGGAATCAGCTATATAGCATAAAAAGCATATTTTGGTTTGTTTGCCGTAAAATTGTGTTGTTGCCAGCGTTATTGCACCTGGAAAAGATTTTCTTCCAGTTTGCAGCAAATTACCCTGGTTTTTACTTCATTTTACTCAAAACAACGTTTTTACTTGTGTCTGGTTTGGTGACGCTGTTTTAGAATCCTCTTTCGGAGAACAACCTTTACCTCTGTTTTCGTAACCAAACTACACTTTTGACGCTCTATATTACTGGAAAAATGGTTTGGTTTGTTGGCAACGAAATTAGATTATCTTTGAGCCGTATATCATATAAAACCAGTGTTTGCATGTTGGCAATAAAATCGCGCTGCTTTGAGTTTTATATCACAAAAAAAAAGTGTTTTTGCTTTTTTCGTCGCTAGAACACGCAAGACTCAGCTTTATAGCACAAAAAACATATTTTGGTTTGTTTGCTGTAATATTGGGTTGTTTTCGGTGTTTTTGCACCGAAAATGGTTTTTTCCCGGTGCAGGGGTCACCTTGATTTTCACATGATTTTACTCAAACAACGGTTTTCCTTTCTTTTGGCTAAGTTACGCTGTCTCAGAATCGTCTTTCTGAGGACAAACTTTTCTCTGTTTCCATAACCAAACTGCACCTTGGACGCTCTATATTACCGAAAAATGTTTTGGCTTGTTGCCAACTTAACTAAGTTACCTTGAGCCTTACGTCACAAAAAAGAGAGCTTTTCTGCCTTACTGTGTTTTAAATACGTTGCATTTAGCTTTATTGCAGGAAACAGATGTTATGGTTTGTTTGCCGTAAAATTGGGCTGTTTCCAGCGATATTTCACCGGAAAAATGTTTTTGTGAGTTTGCAGCGAGTCACTTGGATTTTTACTTGATTTTACTCGAAACAACGTTTCTTTTTATTTTCGAACAAGTTACGCTGTTTTTAGTATCATGTTTGCCAGAACAGCCTTTTCCCTTTTTTTCCTACCTAAAGTGGGCGTTTAAGGTACGAAAAGAAACGAAAACGTTGTTTTGAATAAAATCAAGTGAAACCAATTTCGTTGCGAACAAACCAAAACATGTTTTCGGTAAGATAGAGCGTCAAAAGTGTAGTTTAGTTACAAAACGGAGAAAACAGCGGAACTTAGCAGAAGACAAGCAGAAACGTTACTTTTAGTAAAATCAATAAAATCAAGTAAAAATCTTCGTCACCCACTAAAAACTAGCAGGAAAGGTTTGCCCCATGCAATATCGTTGGAAACAGCTCAATTAACGGCACAGGAACCAAAACATGTTTTTGCTGAAAATAAAGCTTAAACCAGCTTATTTTAAACACAGAAGAGGAAAAATGCTCTTTTTTGGGACACAAAGCTCAAACGAGCTCAAATTCTCTGCAAACAAACCAAAAGATGTTTTAGATAAGTTAGAGCATCAAAAATGTATTTCATGTAGGAAAAAGTGGTAAAGGTTGTTCTTAGAAAGATGACAAATTTTACGATCTCGTAACTTAGCCAAACACAAGCAAAAACGTTGTTTTGAGTAAAATCAAGCGAAAGGCAGGTGACTCGCTGCAAACTGGAAGAAAACCTTTCCCAGTGCAATTACGCTGTCAACAACACAATTTTCGGCGAACAAACCAAAATGTGGTGTTTGTGCTATAAAGCTGATTGCAACGTGTTTCTCAACAAAAAGAAAAAACGCAGCTCAAAGCAGAGCAATTTTGTTGCCAGCAAACATAAACGTATTTTCGCTAATATGAGGCCCAAAGAAGGGTATTAAGCAACGAAAAACGAAATCACTGCTTTTTTGTAACGAAATGCCTGAAACTTCCGATTTCATAGCCAACACGCCAAAACATGTTTTCGATAAGATAGAGGGTCAAAAGTACAGTTTACGTACGAAGACAAGGAAGAGCCTGTTCTCAGAAACATAATGCTGAAAGTTGCGTAATTTAGCAGAAAACAAATGAAAACGTTGTTTTTAGCATGACTCGCTGAAAACTGGCAGAAAACCTTTTCCCAGTCCGATAACGCTGGGAACAGCCCAATTTTACGGCAAAGAAACCCAAACGTGTTTTTCCTCTAATAATGCTAAACGCAGCGTATTTTAAAGACAGAAAGGCAAAAACGCTGGCTTTTGTGATATACGACTCAAAGTAATCTAATTTAGTTGCCAACAAACCAAAACATTTTTCCAGTAATATAGAACAGTGAAAGTGTACTTTCGTTACGAAAACAGAGGAAAAGGTTGTTCTCAGAAAGAGGATGCTAAAACGGCGTCACTTAGCTAAACACAGGCAAAAACGTTGTTTTGAGTAAAATGAAGAGAAAATCAGGGTGACTCACTGCAAACTGAAAAACCTTTTCCAAGTGCAATAACAATGGCAACAACACAATTTTACGGCAAACAAACCAAAATATACTTTTTATGCTATAAAGCTGATTGCAACGTGTTTTAGCAAGAAAAAAGCAAAAACACTTTTTTTTGCGATATAAAGCTCAA